AATTTAGGGGTGAACTCATAATTTTGGGACAGAGTGTATAATCGGGGTAAAAAAGGAGCTATTTTTTCTAGGGCAAAATTATCATTCTTATTGTCAGATTTTTAGCTAACATTTTTTAATTAAAAGTATTTTTTGTTAATTTTATTTTATACATTTTTTTATATTTTAAAAAACTAATTTAATTTAAAATTTAATTAATTATTTCACCAAAATCCATTTTGAGAAGCCCCAACAGGCAAACAACTAACGAGGAAAAATGCGAGTCGAGTAACATAAGGATGACTAACAATTAAATATTTAGATATTCCAAATCCAGCCAAAGGTTTAAAAATAAATTGACACAGAAAAATAATTAATAAAGGTAGTGGTTGTAATCCATTTTCGCCAATATTTAGTTGTAAACCTGTCAGAAAGTTCCCAATCCCAATGGAAATGCCAAAAGCAGGAATTAAAAAATTTGTTAATTTTGAATAAATTAAAGTTTTTGATGTTCTGATTCGATAAAAAAATTCTCTAAAATTATTTTTTAGATTTTTAAAGAATTTTTAGTTTCGATTTTAATTTTCAAATTTTATGAAGATTAAGAGTTAAGGACAAAGTGTGAGAAAATAATACTCGTTTATCATCCAAATAAAAGGGGTTTATAATTAAAGTTTATCTATCATGTACAGTCGTGGAAAAAAGTATGGAAGCGCTAGAAAATTTTTTCTTAATTCTTAATTTTTCATTCAAAAAATACGTTCTATATATCAATCGAAAGCTCTATTCGTATCTCAGTTGACATATTTCTGCATTTTTCATGAAAATGAAAATTGGTCGAGATAATCCGGATCTACCGGATATACCAAATCCCACTTTTTCGGAAAAATTTTTCGGAACAAATTTAACAAACCCATTTGATAAAGCATATTTTTCTGAGTATTTTCCACAAAACAGCTTAGAAATATCTTTTTCCGGAACGGAGATATGATTTTTTGAAAATGGCATTTTTCGCTTAAAAATTGAATTTTTTGCAAAAATAGACGAAAAATACGATTTTCAAAAAATCATATCTCTGGACCGGACAAAGATATTTTTAAGCGGTTTTGTGGAAAATACTCACAAAAATATGCTTTATCATTTGGGTTTGTTAAATTTGTTCCGAAAAATTTTTCCGAAAAAGTGGGATTTGGTATATCCGGTAGATCCGGATTATCTCGACCAATTTTCATTTTCATGAAAAATGCAGAAATATGTCAACTGAGATACGAATAGAGCTTTCGATTGATATATAGAACGTATTTTTTGAATGAAAAATTAAGAATTAAGAAAAAATTTTCTAGCGCTTCCATACTTTTTTCCACGACTGTATATAATAATTTATTTTAAAATTTACAAAATAAAATAAATTTTAAAATTATTTAAATATTTTTCATGAGTATTCTATGTATCTTTTTATTTTGATTTTTAAAAAATCATGCATAATTAAATTAATTTTAATTTCAACAACTAACGTCTTTCCTGCAACAACTTTAATTTTATTTAATCCAACAAACTTTCCACTAATGTTAACATTAATCCATTGGGCAAATTCATTTTCTTTGTCTAATTGTACAGAATATTTTATTGGGCATTCCGTTTCATTTAAAGGACAATTAATTTTTGGCCATTCACAATTAATAATTACTTGTCCTGACCAAGCTGTTTCATTTGTATAGACAATTAACCATATTGCCCTTTTTTGAAAAATAATTTTAATTTTAATTGAAAGTGTCTCCAGGGATGTCTTAAGTAGTTACAAAATTCTGAAACGGTCCCGGAATCAGAAATAATTGCTATTATTTTGTTTATTAAAAAGAAAATAAATAGGTATGTTGGGTAATGGGGGAACAGTCAAGTAATTTTATTTTAGGTAGCCTCTGTCCTGTCGTTTTTATTTAAAGCAATAACTAACTAATCGTCAGATCTTCTTAAGCATACGATCATTGGATTGGATCATTGGATTTTACTTAAAATTATTTTCTTTCTTATCCAAGTAGCCTTAATTAAAGGTTATTATTTTAATTTTACCAGCCTTGCTTATAAAAAATAAATTAATATTAAAACCTTTTATCCCCAATTCTAAATTCAACCAAATTTGGAGGGTCAATCCAAAGTTTTGGACTTTCAGTAGTATTTAAAAATATAACTTGTGAATTAGTAAGGGGAAGATATTGACATAAAATAAAGAATGTGAAAATAAATAAATTTATTTGGTTTAATTGTAAATTAATAAATAACATTTTTAATTTAGTAAAAACAATTTTATTTCCAAATTTAAAAAATATTTACTTGTTTTTAATTTATTCTTCTCTCGGTAATCCGTGGAAGATTAAAAGCCTGCTAATATTTAGGTTATGGTAGATAATAAAGCTTAAAATATATTCACAGAAATGTTTAATATTTTTTAAATTTTGTATAGGCTATTAATTATTGTGGAAATTAAGATAATAATTAAAATATTAATTTAAAATTCTTAAAATTTTCTAAGACAAAGGATATTAAAAAATGTAAATTATGAAAGAAGTTATGCCGGAATGAAATGTGTACTTTCTGGACACCCACTAGTTTATACCAAAATTCTCTTTCAATTTGACCAATCTCAAAAAATTTCTAAAATTTTATTTATCATCAAAACAGAATCTTTGGCTATCTTGCATCTGCTTGTTTATTATATATTACCGTCCATTTAAAAAATAAAAATCTAGGTGATACTCATTATTTTATTGCCCATATGTCCTTTAAAATATTTAAATCCGGTTTTGTGTTTTATTCATTTTACGTATACAGGAATTGTTTATTCACAATATTTTTGAAAATATTTTTATTTGTCTCTAAAATATTAAAAAAGAATTGAATAATGGGGAAATAGAGGATTTGGAGAATTGAAGGGGGGAGGAAGGGAGGGGGGATGGGGGAGGAATGGGGGGGGGGGAAGAGATTTGATGATGCGCATAGTTGAATTGAAGGATTTAGGCCGATAAACATTTTTTGTTATTTTATTAGAGTACGATTTAATATAATGGCCATATAGAAACAATAAAAATTCCAAAGTTTTATGACTAAAAAATATTTATATTAAATTTTATATTTAATAAACATAAAGATTTTTTAGATGGTAAAATTATTAAATTAACTTTATTAATTCATCTTATGTATTAGGGAAAGTTAATTTATTATTTTAAGCTTAATTATATTATAGGGGCACATTATCTTGATAGGCTTTCCACAAACTCTTTAAATTCCCTCAAACATTTTATCAAAATACGTAAATTCTCTAATTATAGCAAATTCGCTTCTATTTTTCAATCCTATCGTAGGGTGTGAAGCACACACCTCTCGTAGAGTGTGTGCTTCTATTAGAGAATTTACGGTATTTATTAATGAAAGAATGTGTTTTAGGGCTTTATTTGCTAACAATTTGTAATAGGCAAAATTTATGTTAGGCATTATTTTAGGTAGTAAGGTACCTCCTATTAATACCTTATTTTGTATCTTTGAACTTTTAAAATTAGAAAAATTGTCTAACAAAAATTTTTTTAAATTAAATTTTATTTTTTATTAATTTTTTATAAACTTTTAGAGTAATTAAAAAAATGTTTATTCAATATTTAAATCCAATATCCTCATCATTCTTAAATTTTTCCAAAATAATATTTAAATTAATAACAATTATTCTTATTATTTCTTATCAAAATAATGCTACCCAATCGGTAAATATTTTTTAAAAATTATTTTTTATTAATTTATTATTAAAAAAAGATATTTTCGTGTCCATTAAATCCAACAAGTATTTCTGGAATTCCTGGCGTTTTTCCAGATTATGGACCTGCTGGGGGAATTGGTGAAGTGTAAGTATATTGATACATATTAATATAATTGGGAAATAATTAAATAGAGATAGAGTAGTTAGTTCTTAATATTTGACAAAAAACCTAACTGAGGAAAGAAGAGTTTAGCAAAAGTTTAGCCACCGGGCACGATTCGAACTTGCGACCTCCTCGTAGTTATTGCTAGGCGTTTTTCCACATACAGGAGCTCTACTATTGAGCTACCGGGGCGACGACCTCTTGTCCTTTTAAGAAAAATGCTTAATGCTTAATTAAATGCTCTAGGTGAATCATCCTTAAACTGATATTTAATTTTTTAAATTAAATTTGGAAATTAATTATTAGTGCCAGAAAGGGTTTCTTCTCAGTATTATTCATACTGAATCTCAAAATATTTGAAATAAAATATAAATTTAAAAAATAAAATATCTAGAAGTTCAATTAAATTTTTAAATTAAATTTCCCAGTTGTGGGGATGGCTCTTTTATTCATTATTGGACTTGTTGCGAAAATTATCCTTTTGAATGTTGTTTTAATCTACAAACATGGGCAATGTAAAAATAATTATTTACAAAATTTAAATTAAATATAATTTTTAAGTGTTTTATTAGCTATGTTGGTTGTTATATTTTTTGTAATTATTCTTTGTTTTGTTGGTAAATATTTAATTTCACGACAAAGGGAAGAAGAAATTGAATAAATTAAAAATAAATATTTTGTAATTAAATTTAAACAAAAATATATAAATAATAAAATATTTCCAAAATCTAACAGATTTGTTGGCAGATAAATTGTTAAGAGAAAATAAGAGAATTTTACATTATAATTAAAAGGAAAAGATATTTAGGTCATTAATAAATAGAAGGCATTAAATAAAAAAATAAATACTAGAGTTTGACCCCGGGACCGGGTTTTCCGAGCCCGGTAGCCTGGATACCGGGTATTTTGATAAAATCCGATTTTTTGGGGTTTCCTGGTTTTTAACCCGGAAGCCTGGCTCTGGTCTGAGTGGAAGAAAAAACCCGGATACCGGGACCGGCAAATGGAGAATATCGAACTCTAATAAATAAATATATTCAAGTATTATCACAATTTACAATTACTATTTTTAAATTAAAAAGAATTTTCGCTAATATTTTTTATATTATTTAAAAATATTATATGTATTATTATTTGTTGTTGAATGGTAAAAAGTTAAAAGTTGGATTCCCGACCAATTCCAAAATACCATGGCAGCAAGTACAAAAATATGCCACCATTGATGTGAACAACCAATTAAATCAAATTTTCCTTTAAAAATTTTTTTTTAATTTAAAAAAATTGTTTATTTAAAACTACCAGGAAAGAGGCGTTCAGGAAATAATGTTGTGTAAAAGGCAAATGCCCCTCCTAATAAAATAAATAAAATGCAAAGATTTGGAAGCCATTGTTGAACGTGAGGGTTAGAAAGGCCTCCGTGAAGCTAAAAAGAATTAATTAGATTAAAATAAAAGTTTCTTTAATTTGTTACGACTTATTGTTTGTCCACATTATTACAACAGTACTAGGTCAGTCAACGACTTCGGGAATTATATTTAGGGTTAAATAAAGATTTCTGTTTTTCTATAATAAACGGCCGACCATCCTAATATTCAAGCTCCTCCCGGAGCTATTATTTGTTTAATCGAATTTTTAGCCCAAAAAATGAGCTTGGTCCCTGTTATTTTTCAATTTTCGGGGGTCTGTATCTCGGCCCAAAGTTAAGACCGGGGGTTGATTTTGTAGCATTCAACACAGCTCACCGAGTTCTATAACCTAACACTACTGACCATTTTTTAATACTTTGAGGAAGGAAAAGGAGAAAGGGGGGAAGGGGGGGGGGAGGGATACGAACACTAGAATTACCTACGGGCCCCGAAGGGCAATTCTAATGGAGGCAATTCAATTAGAGCTCGGTTATATCAGTATATCGGTATATCCGAATATCATAAACATTTTTTCAAAATATTTATAATTTGCCTGTATCCAATGCAAAGTTGGCGCCATAGCTATTAAAGCCATTGACAAATAAAGTAATTCTAATAACCCAATTCTTTTTTGTGTATTTCTTTCAGAAAATCGACTAGTTGCAAATAAAGATGTAGTTATAGACATTGCTCCAATTAAAGTTCCATAAAAACGCCGAATTTCCTTTTAAAAGAAAATGAATTTTAAACAAAAAAACAAAAAATACAGGGAAATTGTAAAAAGAAGTATACAATCCAGACATATATAAACCAACTAAAGCAGCAGAAACTCCAAAAAGATCAGCTTTAAGCCTAAAAATTTTTTTAAAAATTAAAAATGAGAGGGAAACAAGTAAAGGACCATTGTTTTCGACGTGTGGGAGAGTGACAACCAAAAATATGGTAAGCAGAAGAGAGCAACATACAAAGCTGGAAAGTTTTGAATTATAGAAACAGTCTGAGGAAAAATTTTATTTTTACTTGGCAACAAAGCATTGCCATAGTCATAACTAGATAATCAATTATGGGAGCTTGAACACTTGGCAATGCCTCCAATAAAGTCCAATATTGGAGATAAGTTAAAATAAAAAATCCAATTAAATGTGTCCATATGTTTAAAGTTTCATTGTTCCAGTGGAAAATACTTGAAAATAAAATATATTTTTTAGAAATCCGTTTTCCTAGAATTTAAACAGTTCAGGTTGAAGACTCTTACAAAAGACCTTTTAAATTAATGCTAATTCTTTTAGAATGGGGGTAACAACGAGAATCACAAGTATTTAGATAAAAAATAAAGGAATACAAAAGGTTCCCTCCTCAATGAAGGGAGATTCTCCTTCTCCCATAACGGGAGAATCGTCTTAAATATTTGGGGAAAAAGTCAACAAACATAAAAAAACAATAAAAACTGGTACCGTATTTCTAATAGTGCGATCGTTCGGTTTATTTTTCGATCATCCTCTAGAGGGTCGGTTTATTTGAAGGGGTCGGTATAATAGAGAGAGCCGCATTATTAGAAGAAAAACGGGTATTTGTAAATGATTTAAAAATTAATTTAAATATTTTTTTCTAATTTCAACATAAATTCACCTTTTTAAACACAAAGTCCAGGGTAATTCTAAAGGTTTATAATGATTCTCAATATGTCGATTAATCCTTTAAAATAATTTTAATTTTAAATAAATTTTATTAAATTATTCATTTACCACATGCAAGGGTCTAACACATCTCTGTGAACTAAACGAATATTTCCATGTCTTTTACAAAAACTTTTATTTCGACAATGTTTGCATTTGCTTTGATGATAATATTTTTGTGGAAATAGCCATTGCCTCATTTAAAAATATTTTTTTACTAAAAATTTAGAAAAAAATATTTTCAAATTAATTAATTAAATATTCACATTAAAAGAGAGTAAATTTAATTTAATTAATATTAGTAAATGTTTTTAATTTCTCGCAAATTTAATGACGTAATAATTATACTAAATTAGTTTAATTTGAAAATATTTGATAATTAAAAATTAATTTTGCTTTTTTTAATAAATTTTTTGGTACTTTTCTGTTAATCGACCGCAAACTGGGTATTAGCCGAAATTTAAACAGCTATAAGTGTTTGATGCTTGATCCAATACATATAAATTTTATATAATTCGAAAGTTCTCGATAAGCTCAATCTTTTACCCAATTGTATGGATCAGGTCTGGTCACTCATAGAAAAGCAACAAGTCGATAAGTGCAAGAAATCGTTGTTTTTCACTATTATCGGGGTATAAATTTATGAGTGATTAAACCTGATTCATACAGTTAGGTAAAAGATAGAGCTTATAAAGGGCTTTCGAATGATATAAAATTCATTTGTATTGAATCAAGCATCAAAAATTTATAGCTGTTCAAATCCGGCTGTTACTTAATTTGGGGTCGTTTACGGAAAAGTACCAATTTTTAAAAAATAATTTTCAAATTTTGTGATTTTAAATTGAGAAAATCTTTTTATTTAAATAATTACCCAAAAGTTTGGTTAATCTATGAACAAAAGTCCCTTAATAAAATAATTTTTATGTTCTGATTTATCTATTTTATTTTAACAATTTTTATATTTCAAAGTCTAATTTTAGTTCATTTAAACACAAAAAGTGTGTTCATATTTTATGTTCACGTATTTACTTTGTGCTCACATTTAGAGTAGTTTGTGTTAAAAAGTATCCTCACATTTAATTGAAGATAATAATTTTTAATGAAGTTAAAATAAAAAGATTATTGAATGATTAATTTGGATTTAAAAAAAGCTGAGAGGATATACTTAGCTTTGACTGGGAAAACTTCCGCAAATAATAGAAAAAGAAAGAGGTGAATGAAAGGAGCAAGAAAGAAAAGATCGATGATGGATGGATATTGCCTGCAGCGGTTTACAATTATTTGAGGAATTAAAGATCAAAAACTAGTAATTTAGGACAATTAACTAAAAAGTTATAAACAGTTGTGATTATAACACAACAATGAGGGGGGAATTACTAAGTAGTAAACAAATCTAAACAATATTAGGGATATATCCGTGATTTTGGAGAGAGCCGTTAGTAGGTGATCGATAGACGGTGCTCACTCCTAGTATTCTGTTATCATGTAAAATACAAAACGATGAATCCACAGATTAGTAAAACTGGGAATTATTTAATTATTTTTAAGGACAGTCAAGATTATTTCCTGTGAAATTTAAGCAAAGATCGACAAAATTTATTCAAAATTATTAAAAATTTAGGAATTAGAAAAGTTAGACTAATTGCAGGATTATTCTTCTTTCAGAGGAAATGTTTGGTCATGTCGGGCTAACTCGAGGAAGAAAAGGACTAAACTAACTCAAGGACAAGACAAGGAACGACAACTCACGGAATGACCAAAACAGGAATATTTTAAAAATTGTAATTTTTTGAAAAATCTGGATATTTTTTTAAAAATTACAATATTTTAGAAAACAGAATTTTAAAAATTTTTGAAAAATTCTGATTTTTAAAACATCCAGTGATTTGGTCGTTCCATGATTTGGAATTCCTTGAGTTGCCCCTCACCCACGTTTGGTTATTTAATTTAAAAAAATTTAAAAGTTTAATCCATTTAAAATATTTTATCCAAGGTATATTTAATTGAAAAATAGTTATTGTGAAGATATTCATATATAGGCAATAGGCAAAATACAAATTTAGGAAATTATTTTTTTAATTTACATTTATTTAATTGAAAGAGTTTTTTCGTATTAAAAATTACTTTTTCCTTTTTCTTTAAATTTAAGTTTTTCGGAAAGAAAAGAAAGCTTTAATGCCTGCAAACAAAGTGACAGCCAATCCTGGAGCATACAAACGTAATGCAGCAAGTGCTCCACCAATAAATTCAGTAGTTTGGGATAATGCACCAGCAGAAACGGCTATTTCCCAAAAGAAGACACACAAAAGTGCTGTGAAATTGATTAAAATTTTAAAGAAAAATCAGTTATTAAATGAAAAAATAATTGAACGCCTAATTTTAAGCGCTAGTAAATTTTGATAAAAATTCTATGGATTAAGTACAGGCTTGGTAATGGATACGGATAAAGATAAGTTCAAAATGCATGCGGATATCCGTCTATATCCGCCGTAACAGATACAAAGATGTCTATTACCAAGTCTGAACAAGCAGATGATTTCAAACATTGAGAAAAAATACCTAATATGAGTGCCAATACAATAAACCCAACTTCTTTTGATTTTACAATACTCATAATTTTATCCCAAGCATTTTGTTTAAACGGCGTAACATCGTCTGAAGTGGAAGGTTTTTCAGGATTATTTTCATTATTTTTAGCGCGAACAATTATCTAAAAAATTAATTTAAATAAAAACTTTAAATTAAAATTACGTCAAAAGCTTCTCCAACATGTCGAATTTGGGCATCTTCTTGATCAGTACCAGTTCTATATCCTTTTAAGCGTTCTAAAACTGCATTTAGCACTTCACTAACACGATTAGAGTTCCCCTAATTTTTAAACAAATTTAAAAGAAAAAATATTTTCAAAACCTCATTTTGTAAATTCTTTGGTTGTTGTTGTGGAGGATCAAAAACAATTGGAACAACATCACTTTGAGTAATTTGTTCGCTACATTTAGGGCAGCAATTACGTTTGGCTACAAAGTTTTTGAGACAATTTGTATGAGCCATGTGATTGCAACATTTTACAAAAGATAAACTGCTAGGCACGTCAAATTTGCAAATAGAGCAAGTTGTCATTAATTCTAAAAATTATTTTGAAAAATTAATTAATTAAATTAACCCTTCACTTAAACAAATCAAGTTTTTAAAGTAATGCACAAAAATGGACAAACATATGTATGTTTCTGTTAGGTTAAAATCTTATTGATTAACAAAAGTATGTACATAGTTTCCCATTTGAGTATAACTAACATTTTTACAAATATTTTAATATTAGTTTAATAAATATTAACAATTAATTTTAAAGATCTCTCTTTATAATTTATTAAAAATATTTTTAAAATAAATATATTTATATTGGCAAATGTTTTTGATATCATTTTTAGGGTTGCCGTTTTCGAGTCGGGCCGACGGTCGAGACATTTTTTCGGACTTATTTTTATCTAGTCGGACCGCTACGAGTCTTTTTCGGGAGAAACATCTGGGCCCGACTCGATCTTTCGGTCCGAGTCGGTTCATTTTGGCAACCCTAATCATTTTAAAATAAATTAATTGGAATTGTAAATATTTTTAACTTCAAACAATTAAATTCTCATAAACATATTGAGCTAAAAGTAAGCGATTAACATCCAATGCCAAATGAGAAGTTTTCTCTGCCCGTAATTTTATTCCATTTGGACAAATTTCTAAAAAAATAAAAATTAAAATTTGGAAAAAAAATATTCTCATTTTTACCTCTTTTGTTGTCAACAAAAAGTGAAAGAACTTCCTTTTGCAAATAATCTTTAAGATTCTCTTCTGTAGACAAAATTTTCTTTGAAGATAAAAGACAATTTGTATTTTGAATTAAATTAAACCATCGTTCATAGCAAAGTTGGCGAAGCAAATTTCTATTGAAAATTAAAGAAAATTTTGTAGAAATATTAAAAATTTAAAAAGAATTTAAAAAGAAATCGTAAAAATATACTTAAAAGGATCCAAAAGATTTATGTGATTTTTAAATTGGTTCTAGTCAACCCGCAATCCCGAAAAGGTTAAAAAACTAAATTTATGTTTTCTTAACTTTCTAGTACAGAAAACCCTTTTATTTAAATATTTTTTCTTAAATTACTTTGGAATTTTCAAGTTGTCACTAAAATTGTCCTCAAATCCTTCTTCAATATTAAACTCTTCCCATTCCGGAATTGAATTAAAATCAATTTCTCCATTCTCCATAAAATTCTTCCAAAGAAATTTAACATATTTTTCAATACATTTTTTCTCCTCAAAATATTCATCTTTTTTAATTAATTCTTTATCAGACAAGCTAGTAATAGGAGAATGGCTTAAATCGAGAACCTAAAAAATGAAATTTTACAAGTTTGGGTTGGAGAAGAATTGGAAACTAAAAATAGGTAAATATTTAACGGCCGAGAATCCTTCGGAACTCCGAGGTTAGGTTCAGGGGCGGAATCAAAGATAAGCAAATAAACGCAAAACGAAGTGTCCGATTAGGATTCAGCCAACTCAAGCTAAACATAGAAAAAAACCTACCATTCCAATCTGACTTGCATTTGGCAAATCTTCAAGAAGTTCAGAAGGCCCAATAGATTGACGAGAATTTAAAATGTCATCATTGCAAATAGATTCTCGGGCAGAAATATTTTGAGGAAATTTTGTCAAATAACGTTCTGTTGGCGAACGAGGAGTTGCTCTGTTAAACCAAAATAAATTCAAAAAATATTTTAAATTAATAACCTAGGTGGACTTTTAATAGGAGGAGGACTTCTTGAAAGAGCCGGAACATTATTCATTAAACGTAATTTAACAAGAGCTTCGCTAGCTGAACTTCGGCGACGGCTTAAACTGTCACGACCAGTGCATAATGAAGTACTTGGCATAGGAGACAGAATTGAACGAAGTGATTTCTCTGATGGTTTGAAAGAAGAAACAATTCCATCAGAAACATCTGTTGACAATGAGTTGATCGATTCATTTAGCTAATAAAAAAATTTAGAAAAATTAAATTAAAATTGACCAAGTGATTATTTCGAGATGTAAATTTAATGTCCAAATCATTATTCAATTCCTTCTGACTTATCGGAGAATATTGAATAAACGATGTTGGAAAGTTTTGAGAGCTAAATAAATCAATTAAAATAACAAAAGAAAAAATACTGATTAGGAGAATATTCAAAATAACGACGTTCCATAAATTGTAATTCTTGTTTGGCCTTGAAACGAGCAATTAATTTACGAGTTTCTTCTTGTTGTTTAAACATTTGAACGTAATGATCGATTAATTTTGACTTTAAAAAATACAAAAAAAAAATATTTTAAAAATATTTTCAACCAAAAAACCTTATCAACACTATCATTTAATTCCATCTTTATTTTCTTCTTTTCCAAATCAAAATCATTCATTAATTGTTTAAACTTGTTTGAATAACTCTCTTTATTTCCAAAAGCATTCCTTTGTTCTTCCCGAATTAAATAAAGTTGAATTCTTGTATATTCTTTAAGTGTATCAATTCGATGACGTAAAATATATTTTCGATCGAAAATAAAGTCACTAAAAATTAAAAAACTAAACGGGTACACCCCAACGTACCGCAGAGCTATAACCTCGTTCAAAACGGTCGAATCCGGGACGCCCTGATATGGTTCGATTCAGCTGGTCAAGGTGCATCGAACCATACCAAGGGTTTCCGGATTTGACTATTTTGAACAAAGTTATAGCTTTGCGGTAAGTTAGGCTGCTCCCAACTAAATTAGTGAAGAATAAAATTACAAACCGTTTCTTCTTTCCACATTGAATTTGAGAAAAGTTTTGCTCAACTAAGTTTAAAAAGAGTTGTTTTTTAGAGAAAAAAATAGAAAAATAGGTACCTTTCAAACTTGCCATCTTTTTAATTTCTCGTTTTAATTTTGTTGTAATAATAAGCTTGTTGATAAATACGGATTTGAAAAATACCTATATAGGCTGACACTAATCTAAAGACAAACAAAATATTGGATAACAAAAGAACAATATAAAAATTTTATTAAATTTTACTTAAAGGAATTTAAATTTTTTTGAATTTTTTTTGTTTAGTATAAAATTTTTTGCTAAACAAAATTCTCATAAACTCCACAGAGATGGGGGGAGGGGGCAGATTTGCTCTTGTTTTTAACAAAATTTGCTCTTGTGTAGTTGACTATTTGCTCTTATTTTTAAAATTGCCAATTTATTCGTGCCAATTTATTCACTCATTGTCAGACAAATTTTTTAATGAATTCTTAAATTGTAAATATGTAAATGGAACCACGGCGGGCCAAACGGGACATTGGGGATCACGGGACAGGATCCCGTACGGGATTTTACGGGATCCCGTCCCGGAATCCCGGGTTTTTCGCGGAAAACGGGATTTACGGGATTAATCCCGCAGGATCCCGTCCCGTTCAAAATGTTGAAAAAAAATCCCGTTACGGGATCCTGGGAATGCGATTTCCCGATCTCTAATTTTTACATAATTTTTTCTAATTTCTTGAAAATTAATTTATCGATTTTTAAATATTTTTTTTTATTTTGGCGCTAAATGCTGCATTGAACTCGCTAGTCCTTTAAAAAAGGAAGCTAACTAATGTTTTATTTTCCACTCTTTCTGATATGTATGGAAAATAATAATCTGGTACGAGCCGGACGAGTAGTTCCATGCAAAAATTTTTTTGTGCCTCCGCTGAGAATAGTCGGGATCTGGAAATAATCTGGAGACTGAGAAAATGCGTTTCGGCTCCAAACTCCAGATCCAGATTCTTTTTTCAACTTTTCGCTACCCCATATGTGTTTTTCGTTAAGATGCAAAAATTTTGTTGTCTTAAATTTTAAAAGCCTAATCATATCAACCTTACAATTAATCTTATTTAACTTATTGTGGGACTTTTTTGCCGTGCGATTTTCAGTTATAAATAATTATTTTTAGCATTTTATAGAAGTATTTACATATAATTACTCTCCAAATTACTCTAATAATAAACAAAAATAATTCCAATGCGACGACCACAAACGCAGCAAACGTCTTCAACACAAAACAACAAATCCTTGGAAAGAAAGGTTCAAAAAACTATGGCAAACTTAAAAGGTTTTCTTTTTAGGGTTTATACAAATTTCTATTAATTTAGCGTCAGAAAGTTTACTTCCAAAATCGTTGTTGGATCGTGATTCGAAGCTTGTTCCAAACAACGTTGCTGCAAAAACGTTTAAGCATGGGCGTACTCTTCATAATGTTCTCTGTTGCAATGATCTTTCTCCCAAAAAAGTCAATAAAGTTCCGACAACCTCCTCAACTAGAGATAGAGGACGTATTCCATTTTATCGAAATGTTAACCGCAGTGCTAATAGTACTAACAATTCTGTGAGTTTATCAACAACAAAAAATTCATCTCAAGTAAAGGAAGCTACCACAATTGGGCCTAAAAGGAAGATTGAATTTTCTAAAGGTTTTTAAATTTTATTGAAAAAATTAAGAGTTCAAGGGCTATTTACATAGTTTATTTTGACTGGGCCGGAATTTTTCTTTGTTTAACCTCATTAAAAAGAGTTGTGTCCAATGACTAGAGCTAGGATTTTTAGGCGCTAAAACTTGAAAATAGACGCCTATATAGTCACTAAAAACTGTTAAAATAGGCACTAAAATTTGTAGGCATAAAATAGACTAAAATTTATGAAAAAAAGTTGAATATAGACAATAGACTGTCAAATAAACCAATTTTGACGATCACAAATTAAAATAACACCGGATTAGGACATTTCAGCAGCAGGCCTTTATGTGAAAAAACAGGTATTTGCCTAAAAATCCTAGCTCTATACATGTAACATTTAGAGGGGGAGGAAAATGAAACGAGATTTTTGTCTCTTCATCTTGAACCGAGATTGCTTAAAATTACCCAACTTTTAATTATAATACAATTTCTTATATTAATTATTTAGCTCTGGACCCTCCTCTTATGCAAAATCCTCGTTTTGATGAAAGTGGTTATGCTATTCCAAATACTACCAATTCAACACCAAAAATTAAAATAACGAGAGATATTAACAAACAAAATAATCATTTATTTGGAGATTCTGAATTTCTTAACAATTCTGTACAAACAATAAGTCCAAATGTTTATCGTGGAAGAGCCGCAGTATCGACAGATGGGGATGAGAATTTTGAAAGTGCTTTTGAGGAATCTTTTGACACTGAAGAGCGTGAAAGGCGTGAACAAATTGATAAATTAGAGAAGATTAACAAAAATAAAGACGATAAATTTTCTGACTTTTTTGATGTAAATATTGATAAAACAATCGAAGCGGAAGATGATAATTTCCCTATAAATCTACCTTCAATTCCAACTGAAATTCAACCAACATTCATTGCCGATTTGGATAAACATGTTAAAGAAATTAAAGAGGGACTTAATTTTGTGTCAGAAAAGTTGGATTCTGTTGTTGGGCATATGGATAAAACTTTGGGGGATTCGAATATTTATGAAGAAAATGGAATGGCTAGTAATAAATTTGGACGTTTATCTACTTCGTTTAAGTCAACTCAAACGCCTGAATCATGGATAAACAAAAACAATGAAGAGACAAGTCAAAATAAAGGTTTTAAATTTTATTTAAAATTTTAACTTTTTTTGGGAGAATTAGGCAAGGGCGTATCCAGGGGGTCGGTTTCGGGGGGGCTAACACTGGGTGGGCGCAAAAATTTTTGGCGTTTATCTTGGCGTTCCGGACGAAAATTTTTTTTACATAAATTTTAATCTTTTCTGCGCCGCAGGCGAAAATTTTTTGAATTTTAGAAGGCCGTAGGCAAAAAAATTCACTTATTCAGCGCCGCAGGCAAAAATATTGGAAAATTTCGGGGTCCTTAAGACAGATTTCTTCCTTTTTTAGCGCCGCAGGCGAAAATTTTTTGGAATTTGGAGGGCCGTAGGCCAAAAAAGTTCACTTTTTAGCGCCGCAGGCAAAAATTTTGAGGATTTTGGAGCTGAAGAAGCCAGATTTCTTCCATTTTCTGCGCCGCAGGCGAAAATTTTTTAAAATTTGAGGGTTGTATGCAAAAAAATTTCACTTTTTCGACCATCCTTCTCCTAATTTTTTCCTCCTTTCCCCCATTTCGGGGGGGGGGGGCTCTAGCCCCCCCAGCCCCCCCTGGATACGCCCTTGGAATTAGGAACAGTCTGAAATTTATAGTTGTGTTCTGTCATACAGTTTATTTATTAGTCTAAAACAGTTAAAAATTGGACTGATACCAAGGGCGTAGCCAGGGAGGCTTCTGGGACTAACCCTTTGAAATGGGGAAAAGGAAAAAATTCTGGGAGGGTATTGGCAAAGATGAGACAAAAAACGATTTTTAATTAAAAATTATAAAATAGGCATGGCCTCCCTCCCGAAATCTGACCCCCGGCTACGCCCTTGACGGATACATACATATATTTTTATGTTTGTGTCGTTTCCCTTTGTCATAGTGTATTCAATGGATTTTTAGGATATTTTCACTCTCTTAAAACTAAATGTACAAGTAAAGAGAAATTAAAATTTACTTTCCTCTTATCATTTTAATTTTCATAAATTATTTCAGGTGAAAGAAATGATGCTTTAAGTGTAAAAAAGAAACGGTATTTTCTGTTTGATCAATTTACAAACATTTTTTTTTAATTTTTTAGTGACTTTATTTTCGATCGAAAATATATTTTACGTCATCGAATAGATACACTTAAAGAATATACAAGAATTCAACTTTATTTAATTCGAGAAGAACAAAGGAATGCTTTTGGAAATAAAGAGAGTTATTCAAACAAGTTTAAACAATTAATGAATGATTTTGATTTGGAAAAGAAGAAAATAAAGATGGAATTAAATGAGAATGTTGATAAGGTTTTTTTTTTGAAAATATTTTTAAAATAATTTTTGGTATTTTTTAAAGTCAAAATTAATCGATCATTATGTTCAAATGTTTAAACAACAAGAAGAAACTCGTAAATTAATTGCTCGTTTTAAGGCCAAACAAGAATTACAATTTATGGAACGTCGTTATTTTGAATATTGTCCTGATTTAAGGTTTTATTTTGAAAAGATTATTTGTTGTCCAAATTTTAGTTTGAAATGTTGCTCGACAATTCTTGATATTTTTTCATTTTCAGTTCATCTCCTGCCAAAGCTCAAGAAAAGCAACTGCCAAATTTTTCGCCTGGCCTGCATGAACTAAATATTGAAGAAGACTCTGAAAATTCTGATGGGGATTTAGCTGATGAGCTTGACTCTACTTTGGAGGTTTTTGATACCGTACAATCTTGCCAAGTTGCTGACAATCTTTCAGGTAAAAACTATCGAATTCTACTTTGGTTTTTATGCTCAAAGATGTTATAAAATTATTATTTTTTGTTTTAGATTCTTCTACACCCAAAAAATTAACTCCAAAAATTCCTCTTCTTGATTTTACTTTGCTTTCAATTAATGAAGATATTCGTCGAAAAAATAATATCCCTAAACAATTTATTCAAAATTTTGAAGAAAATCTCCCAGTTCCTATTATCGAAAAGGTTACTTCATCAGCAGATAATTTTAATTCTTCTGTTCAACAATGCCCTTTAGAGTTTTTGGCCGATATGGCTTTGACAAACGAAGAGAATGAATTGAATGAAGATATTTCTGTTTTACCTTTACAACAAATAAATGCTCAATTGAATGAAAATACTTCCCAACAAGGTTTTTTTATCTTTTTTATTTTTAAAATTATATAATTACAGAGCAAGAAAAGACTGAACCGAAAAATGATTCTATCATTTCAACATCTTCTGAAGAAGAAAATAATTCGGGTGGTAACACCAGTGAGGATATTACTTCATTGCCTTTTGTTAGCGAAAATGTAATAAATTCTACAAATAATGGATTAAATCAGGTTGGTAATTTCTTTTTTTATTTTTTTTAAATATGATTGTTTTTCGGGGTGTCCGAAAAAGGGGCTCTGGAAGATTGGGCTCCAAGAGCCCAAATTTCCATTGGAGCCCAATTTTTCGATAAATCCTGGAGCACAAATTTCCGGGACTCGTTTTTCGGTGGTGCACCCATTTACAAGCAAATAAATTGATAATTCATTTTTTATTAAAAACAGAATCTTACAAGCGAAAAGGTTCAATCACCTCGTGTTAAAAATCTTGAGAATATTGTTATTGCTCAAGAACAGCTTATTGCTCAAATTTCTAACAAAAATGTTCAAGCTGAAAATAATGTTGCTACTTTGGAGGAAATTTTCGATGTAGTTGAAGTAAATGGTGGAAATGGAGGTTTTTCTAGATCTAAAATTTTTAAAAATGCTTTTAAGATTTGGGTGGAGAGTTTCCTTTGATTTCAAATCGAAATGAGACGGATTCTATACTTGAAGAAATTCCAAGTCCGCGTGACACTGATTCAATAGAAAATAAAAAGGATAATGGAATTATCGAGGGAAGTATGTCCAATCAATCCAAAATTAAAAGTGTGAATACATCATCACGTGAGAGAACTTCGGCAGAAATTGAGTCGATTCCTGAGGAGGTTAATCTTTAAATATTGTAGCATCAAAGCAGATATTCATAACTTTTAAAACAGTATTCTCTTTTTTTTAATTATAGATTGTTTCGATTAAAAATGGTTATGCTTCTGCAAATACAATATCCTCTTCAAGTATTGATTCAAAATCTGAGCAAAGTCAACAACCAGAATCTAATAATGAGATAGAAAAGAACATTACATCTCGAAATAATCAGGTCTTTTTTTAAATTTTGACTTAAAAATTGATTTTACATAATAGTTAAACGAATCACTTAATTCAACATTGGAAGATGTTTCTGATGGAATTGTTTCTTCTTTCAAACCATCAGAGAAATCACTTCGTTCAATTCTGTCTCCTATGCCAAGTACTTCTTTATGCACTGGCCGTGACAGTTTAAGCCGTCGCCGAAGTTCAGCTAGCGAAGCTCTTGTTAAATTACGTTTAATGAATAATGTTCCCGCTATTTCAAGAAGTCCTCCTCCTATTAAAAGTCCACCTAGGTTATTGTTTATAAATTTTCTTAAATTTTATTTTGGTTATTACAGAGCAACTCCCCGTTCACCAACAGAACGTTATTTGACGAAATTTCCTCAAAATATTTCTGCCCGAGAATCTATTTGCAATGATGATATTTTAAATTCTCGTCAATCTATTGGGCCTTCTGAACTTCTTGAAGATTTGCCAAATGCAAGCCAGATAGGAATGGTAGGTTTTTGGGGGGTATATCTAATGAGGCTCTATTTAACTTGAATTAGCTGAATCCTTCCGGGAGGAACGAACTCTGTTTTACGGTGATTTGCGGTTTTTGATTCTGTCCCTGATCCTAACCTGCGATTTTTCCTCATTCGTGTCTCCAAATTCTCCTACCCTGACTTGTAAAATTTCATTTTTTAGGTTCTCGATTTAAGCCATTCTCCTATTGCTAGCTTGTCTGATAAAGAATTAATTAAAAAAGATGAATATTTTGAGGAGAAAAAATGTATTGAAAAATATGTTAAATTTCTTTGGAAGAATTTTATGGAGAATGGAGAAATTGATTTTAATTCAATTCCAAAATGGGAAGAGTTTAATATTGATGAAGGATTTGAGGACAATTTTAGTGACAACTTAAAAATTCCAAAGTAATATAGGGGAAATTTTTTAATGAAATGAGTTTCTCTACTATAATGTTAAGAAAACATAAATTTAATTTTTTGCCTTTTCGGGGTGTTGACTACTAGAACCAATTTAAAAATCACATAAATCTTGTATCCTTAAAAGTATATTTTTAGGATTTTTTAGATTCTTTTTAAATTTTGAATATTTTATTCAACAAAATTTTCTTTAATTTTTAATAGAAATTTGCTTCGCCAACTTTGCTATGAACGATGGTTTAATTTAATTCAAAATACAAATTGTCTTTTATCTTCAAAGAAAATTTTGTCTACAGAAGAGAATCTTAAAGATTATTTGCAAAAGGAAGTTCTTTCACTTTTTGTTGACAACAAAAGAGGTAAAAATTAAGAATATTTTTTTTCAAATTTAATTTTTATTTTTTTAGAAATTTGTCCAAATGGAATAAAATTACGGGCAGAGAAAACTTCTCATTTGGCATTGGATGTTAATCGATTACTTTTAGCTCAATATGTTTATGAGAATTTAATTGTTTGAAGTTAAAAATATTTACAATTAATTTATTTAAAAATGATATCAAAGAACATTTGCCAACACATCTCATTTAAATATTCACTTTATTTAATGGTATTTTTCGTAATAAATCAAATAATCTTTTTTTAATTTAAATAACTTGTGGAATTTTTTAAGAGTTTTTTAATAATGGAGTTTCAATTTTTTGGAACAAAAATTGAAAACTTGGGACGAAATTAAAAACTAGCCTTAATAAGAAATCTATTTTAACAGAATTGAGAATTCTCTTTTGAGTAAATCTAAGTTTAGATCGTATGTATTTTAATTAGAAATGAAAAAAATTTTATTTTATAGAGAATTTAAATTAGGAGAATGCGAAAATATAAGTTGTGCCGTATATGCTGTGTTAATTTCCCTGGATAGAAAATGTTTCATTCTCTCGCTGGAGAATAAAAAAATTAATAGAGGAGATTGATAATTCTTTTTTTTTATTTTATTCTGCGAACAAAATTTCTATTATTTGGCACTAAAAATTTCTTAGAGAGTTGAGAATACAATAAAAGAATTATCAAATTTTGTTGAGTTTGAAGTGAGATATGGGAAAAACAAAAGGGGCGAAAAATTTGCAGCACCCTGTTTATTTATTCAATGTTCTTCTTTTCAACATCCCCAATGCTGCAAAGCCACTTCCATGCCATAACAAAAAATTCCCAAATTTTGTTCAAAACTCCGCACATCTCGTCCAGAACTGAAAGGAAAAATTTGACAAAATGTTTATGCCAACCCTCGGCAACACAAACATCTTTAAAACACGCAATAAGAAGAGCTAAATAAAAAAAAGAATGATTTTTATTTGGGCTTTTAAATTATCAAATAATTCTTTAGTGATTTAAATATTTAATGAAGAGAATTTTGATAATAATATAATGAGCATGGACAGATGAAAGGAAATTTTAAATCAATTTAAAATTTTTTTCGATCTTTCGCTAGAGGGTAAAAGATTCCCAAATTTTGTTCAAAACTTGGAGAGGGCAATTAAAATATGTAATTAAATTTGTTATCCCTCCTTTTTTTCTAAAATTTTTCTTCTAAAAATGATAGTTTTAAATTAAATTACTGTATTTCCTGTAATAATATTCCCCTGAATTAGAACTCTCCCCTTTAATAATACGTCTCTTTGGAGGAGGGTTGAAAAATAGTAATGGAGTACTATTTCAGGAAATACTGTAATTTATAAAATGTCCAGTTCCTAAGTTTTTAGTTCTCAAAAAATTAACTTGCCTAGAGCTGAGCCTAAAACGCAGGGACTCATATTTTGTGTTTGAAGTTTATGCACAAGTTTCTGCCAATTAGATATTTGTTTCTCTACTGTATTAACAAAAATATCTTCCTAAAATTAATAGAAGATTTTTTTATTCTTTTATAAACCCCTACAATAACTACTTCGGCAATCCCTCTAGCAAATTCCATCAAATATTCTCGATCATCATTTGTGGCTAATGGATCTATATTCTCCATTATATAGCCATTCATTAATTTGAAATTTTTAATTTTATTCCCATTTCGCTAAAATTTATTTGTATTTACATAATCAAGTACCCCCTCCAGCGAGAGTTCGAGGCAAGGTAATTAATCGAGTAAATACAGGAAACAAAAAACCGAAAATACTTTGAAAATTAATGATTTTTTTAGAAAATTCCCTCAAAATTAAACTGATATGTATTAACCCAAAATTGAAAATAAAAACCGGGGGTTTTAAATGCGTGATAGCCGAAAAGCGAGGGTAGTACTCTAGTATGAGGGACATAATTAATTAATATCAATTCTCTGATTGATGTGGTAGTTAATTATTTTATAAAAGGTAATTAAATGAGTAATAATTATTATTTGGTCCTTCGCTAGAAGAGTAATTATCTGAGTGAGTTCAATTAGTTAAGTAAATCGTTATCTGGGTAAATTTATTTTACATCTACATAGTAAATTATTATTAAATTTCATTTTCCCTTTTTCTTCCAAAAACGATAGTTTAAAACCCATAAAGTTTTTAATTTTATGATTAAAGTTTATTTAATTTTAATTAAAAATAATTAAATACCAAATTTCTTTTAATTTTTGGATTTTTTGGTAAAACATTAAAAATATTATTTTCATTAATTTCATCAAAACAAGTTGGACAACAACCATTTTCATTAAAATATCGAGTAATACAAGCATTGTGAAATAAATGTTGGCATGTTGAAATAATTGATAAATTATCTTCAATTATTTTTTCACAAAGAATACATTCTTCTCCAATATTTAATAACTAAATTTATACATATATTGTGTTTATAGTATTTTAGAAACAGTAACTCCACAGTAATTCCTACTTAGAAGGAAACAAAAAAGGGAGAATGAGTGGAATGAATGAGGATGAGAAAATGAAGACGGTTAAGAGTAGAGATACGATATATCGATAGAAAATATCGATACCGATGTTATCGAACGATCACGAAAGTTCGGTCTCTAGTTAAGAGGTAAGGAGAGGAAAAATTATTTGTTTCAACAAAAAATAAAATTAAGAATTTTTTTCGAAAATTTGTACAAAATACTATACAAAAATTTAATTTATTTTTAATTATAAATTAACAACTTACATTTGTAGAATTTGGTTGAATAAAAGAATTACTCATTCCCTCACAAAGATCATCAACAGAATAATTCATAGAAGGCAAATATTTTTTATTTGGAATTGAAGACATTTAATAATTAATTTTAAAATAATTGAAATTGACAAAAAAAAATAAATTTAATAAATTAAAATAATTTTTAGTAATTTAATTGTTATTCAAAAAAATTTTTAGAAATTTCTTTAAAATTATTAAAGTTTAAATAAAATTTTATAAAAAATTTGCAGAATTTATTAATATTTTTTTAATTTAAAATAAACAGAATTTAAATAATATTATTAAAAGTATGGCTCCAGTTAGAGCTATGTAGAATAGGAAACAAGATTTAAAATTGGTTAGAGTTGGATTCGAAACTTAGCACTTTTATTTAATTAATACATTCTTTTTTCTTTAAAATATACAAAATTAAATAAAAAAAATATATTTAAAAACAAAAAAAAATATTTTTTAAATAATTAAAATTGTTTATTTACACATTACATATATATCTAAGCAGCATTTTGTTTAAACAAAAATTTTTTTTACATTTATTTAGGAATATACTATGTTTGTACTAATTTTATCTGATCTTCCACCTGCAGCTTTTTAAACATTTTTTGTTTAAATAAAATTCCTAACAACCAAAGATTGCTTTTAAATAAATAAATTTATACAAAAAAATAAAAATTGAAATTATAATAAATTTTTAAATTTAATTAATTAATTAAACTATTATTTTTTGTTTATAAAATTCTAGGTGCATAAAAAATTAAAAAAATATTTTTATATTATTTATTTCGGCAAATTAAAAAGAGTAGAGAATATCAGAAATTTTGGTCGCATTTTTTCTTTCGTTTTTCGCTTTTTAAAAATCAGTTTCTGCACACTTTTGATTTCCATCTTGTTTTATAAAGTAAAATTCACTCAAAATAAACTTCTTTCAGAATTATAATTTATTTCTATTTTTTATTTTTTAACTTCAAAAATTTAATTTTTATAAAAAATTAAGAAATTTTTTGTCAATCAATAATCCACGTATAAAAATGCTTACATATGTATATATTATTTAACAATATTTAATATGCCCTATTGAACAATTTTTTAAATCAATTTTCTATATATTTAAATTTTTTTATTTAATTATTAAAAATAAATATTTTAAAGAAAAATTAAATTTTAAATTATTTTTTATAAAATTATTAAAAGAGAGAAAGAAAGGAGCTTTATTTTAGGGAAAATATGGGGTATAAAGTTTACTATAATTTTAATCCAATAAGAGTTTAAGCATCCCTCTAAATTGGCTGTATATTGGAAGTAAACTTGATAATTTTAATGTAAATTTTTTTGTTTGTAGAAAAAAGGAAGTTTTTTTTAACTTTTTTAAAAAAATGCGTTTAATTTATTTATCTCTAATGCTATTAATTTCGGCTCCGTGTGTAAATACTATTCCCACAGGTTATTATTTATTAAAAATTTTGTGATAATAAATTAATTAATTAAAAAATAGTTTTAATAAAAATAACAATAATACGTTAGTCAGAATTAATAAAAAAATACAAATTAACAGAAAAAATAAAAATATGTATACCGTATATCCTTTAATAACTACCCTGGGTAATTAATGTTTCGACCTTCCGCTGGAGGGAGTAATTATTCAAGGGAGGGCAATTAATACAGGTTATACGGTAAAGGAAAAACATAAATAATGAAACTTTAGCATAACCATAAAATTTTTTATTGAGATTAATACAGGGTGCGGCAAAGTGTTAGGTATAAAATAAAAAAAGAATTATCAATTTTCGATAAAAATGAAGAAAGTTATGTTAAAAACAAAAAGTTGCGCGAATTTGCCGCACCCTGTATATTAAATGTTTAAATTTAAAAAATTTTTTTTCAATTTTCAGAAATGACAAATATTTGAAATTGTTTTATTTCTTATTGTAATCCAAGTTTGGAAGAAGGAATAATATTTAAATATTATCAAAAATTTCTTTTTTTTCACAATTTAAAATTTGTTTTTAAATTTTATACTTTTTAAATGGATTAATTTTGCATATGGCCGAAGTACAACAATATATTGTTGTATATTGTTGTTCCAAAAAACTCAAAATTTTCGCATACGGCGCTAAAAATAATCAAAAAAAGCTTTTTGGACTAATAAAAAATTAAACTAAAGCTATAACTAAGTACATATATTTTTAAAATTATTTTTAAAGACTTTCTAATCAAATGACTAAAGTTCTTGGACAATTTGGAATTTGTAGTTTATTGCAATATAAAGAACAAGTTATAGGATTAGAAAAATATAACAATCCCTCAGCAGTTTTAACAATTAAATGTGATAGAACTACTCCAAATTCAGAATTAGAATTAATT